CTATAAGGTGGGTGCATAACTGGCTGGATAACCGTACTCAGAGAGTAGTTCTTAATGGTTCACAATCCTGCTGGAAAGGTATAACTAGTGGGGTTCTGCAGGGGGTCTGTTTTGGGACCGGCTCTCTTCAATATCTTCATCAACAATTTAGATATTGGCATAGAAAGTACGCTTATTAAGTTTGCAGATGATTCCAAGCTGGGAGGGGTTGCGACTCCTCTGGAGGATAGGATCATAATTCAAAATGACCTGGACAAATTGGAGAAATGGTCTGAGGTAAACAGGATGAAGTTTAATAAAGACAAATGCAAAGTGCTCCACTTAGGAAGGAACAATCAGTTTCACACATACAGAATGGGATGTGACTGTCTAGGAAGGAGTATGGCAGAAAGGGATCCAGAGGTTATAGTGGACCACAAGCTGATTATGAGTCAGCAAAAAAAAGTGATGCTGTTGCAAAAAAAGCAAACATGATTCTGGGATGCATTAACAGGTATGTTGTGAGCAAAACATGAGACGTCATTCTTCCGCTCTACTCTGTGCTGGTTAGGCCTCAATTAGAGTATTGTGTTCAGTTCTGGGCACCGCATTTCAAGAAAGATGGAGAAATTGGAGAGGGTCCAGAGAAGAGCAACAAGAATGATTAAAAGTCTAGAGAACATGACCTATGAAGGAAGGCTGAAAGAATTGGGTTTGTTTAGTTTAGAAAAGAGATGACTGAGAGGGGACATGATAGCCGTTTTCAGGTATCTAAAAGGGTGTCATAAGGAGAAGGGAGAAAACTTGTTCATCTTGGCCTCTGAGGATAGAACAAGAAGCAATGGGCTTAAACTGCAGCAAGGGAGGCTTAGGTTGGACATTAGGAAAAAGTTCCTAACTGTCAGGGTGGTTAAACACTGCAATAAATTGCCCAGGGAGGTTGTGGAATCCCCATCTGTGGAGATATTTAAGATTAGGTTAGATAAATGTCTATCAGAGATGGTCTAGACAGTATTTGATCCTGCCATGAGGGCAGGGGACTGGACTCGATGACCTCTCGAGGTCCCTTCCAGTCCTAGTATTCTATGATTCTATGAACCCACATTAGCATTTGCACAAATGGATCCTATCATAGTACTACTCCTGTGTTTTAAACCATTAATGTATCTGGATTCCCCTTTTGTGCCTGCAATTATGTTCAGGAACAATGTGTATTGTTCAGGGATGTAACTACTCCACCAACATATGTATAAACGCTAAGTCTATCCCCTGGGAATTGCAGCTACAACAATACATACAGGCTGTAGGTGGAAAAAAGGAAGTTTGCCCATAAAACCCAGCCACTCATCTCCTAATGCCTGTGATCACAAACAAGTTACATCAAAATCAAAGACAGTTTAAGTGCTGCTAAGTCATGTTAGTTTAATAAAAGCCATGTAATATGGCCTTAAAATATGCAGATTTTCCTGCCCAGTTGCTGCAGTGTCCTTAAAGATGTTCTGTATTTTAGGGTATGTCTACACTACCACCCTAGTTCGAACTAGGGTGGTAATGTAGTCAACCGGAGTTGCAAATGAAGCCTGGGATTTGAATTTCCCGGGCTTCATTTGCATGTTGCCAGGCGCAGCCATTTTTAAATGTCCACTAGTTCGGACTCCGTGCCCGCGGCTATACGCGGCATGAACTAAGTAGTTCGGACTAGGCTTCCTATTCCAAACTACCTTTACTCCTCGTGGAATAGGAAGCCTAGTCCGAACTACCTAATTCGTGCCGCGTGTAGCCGCGGACACGGAGTCCGAACTAGCGGACATTTAAAAATGGCGGCGCCTGGCAACATGCAAATGAAGCCCAGGAAATTCAAATCCCGGGCTTCATTTGCAACTCCAGTTGACTACATTACCACCGTAGTTCGAACTAGGGTGGTAGTGTAGACATACCCTTAGGGCTTATCTTCATGTCTACACTACCACCCTAGTTGCACTTCCATCGACTCTGGTACTCCACCAGGACAAGAAGAGTAGCTGGAGTTGACAGAAGACCAGCCCCTGCCGACCTTACTGCATTGAAAACACCATGGTAAGTACGTTGACTTCAGCTATCCTATTTTTGTGTAGCTGACATTGTCTAGCTTAGATTGACTGGAGGGGGGGCATAGTGTAGACTAGGCCTTACGGTGCACGTGTTCTGCAGTTAATGGATCGTCAGGGAAACCCTTTGGAGATGGTATGCTCAGCTATCATTTACTGCAATGCCTTTTTGGAGAGCTCTCAAACTCAATGAATAGAGTTTTGCTAATGTTTCTGGGGTCTCAATTTATTGTTCATTCAAATGTTGAAGACATCCATGTTTGTCTTCACCTCCCAGAGGTACTGGTGACTCATGTGAATTCATACTTTGAAACTTTAATAGCAACGTGCTAGATTTCTGTGTTCCTAGTAGGCATTACATGTCAACTTTGAAACCTCTTGTGGTGATGCATTAATACTTGCATTGGTGACCCCACACTTCCATGAGTGGTTTAATTTCCTTCAAATGTGACTACTCACTGGAATAAGAGCTCATCGGCAGGCATATGTGGCACAATCTGGCCCTCAGAATTTGGTTTTTGCTAAAATTGCCAACAGCATCAAATAGGATAGTGGTTTATGTGACACAAAGACTCACCTATTTGGAATGTGGCTCCAATCAAACTCTTTTCACAAAGATCTCTACATAGCTGTCAGATGCTCATGGTGATTGACCCCTTTAAGATGGCATACTGCCTGTGTGCGGGGCTGTAGCACCACTAATCCACAGAGTCATCTAGATTTGCTCCTCCTGAGGTTTTGCTGTTATCTTGGGGGGGAGGAGTTTGGGGGGTTTGGGGGAGAGAGAGGTTGCATTATTTTAGCCTCTGGTTGCAGTAAATGTTTTGGCATAGGTGAGCGAAGCCATTTGAGATTACTTTATCACACTGAAAATATAATCTAGTCCTCAGGTTTTAATGAATTACAAGATCTCCACGTAAAGAGTAAGGAATCCACTCCTTTGAGATGAATCAAATGAATGAAGTGTGCTGAAAGTTCAGAAAGTGTGTTAAGTGGCAATTTCTGGACTTCCTACCTCTTCTCTATACAATTAACACAGGGGACCAAACATGAGGCTCAGTACATCCAGTTAAACTAAGCTACTGTTTGTTTTATTTAGAAGCCAACTTAAAACTCTGGTTTGTTCATTCATGATGACGCAGTGAAAGGGCTCTCAGTTTGCTATCTAGCAAAGAAAGAGTTTATTTCATTTAAGTTCAAGAGACAGCGAAGACATGCCAAAATAGTTAGTTTTGTACTGGACTGAGAAGTAAATTTTTTTCCAATCATTCCATAGACATCTGGGCGATTTGACGTCAGAGCTCTTGACTAAGTGATTTCTACATATAATCTTAGTCAAGTAGAAGTTGCTAATCCTTTCATTTCAACTCTTGCATTTATTTTAAATTAGCATGGGAACTTTTGTTTAACATTGGTGCTTGAAAACAAAACTAGCTCACATAAAACCTTCCAACTAGCTTCTATCTTCCAGAAGCTTATGAAGCTACCTTAGATCCCCATATTCCAACTTTCAGAGACTTGCATAATCTTATGTCTCTTGGAAGATGGGCAGACTTTATCTCATGTCTGGCAGCAGAATTTTACATTGGGTTTAAGTTGTTTAATCAGTTAACCAGTAAAAATTAATGTTTAACTGGTTAACTGCTTAAAAGTGGGAGGGCAGTGGGGGTCCTGTCTGCGGTGGAATGGCCTCTCTCTCGCAGTGTGATGGGCCCAGCCAGGCTGGAGCAGCCTAATAACTGATCGGTGATGCTAATCGGTTAACCACCGACATTCCTAGCAGAAAGCATGGCATACACATTCTTAATTATTTGAAGACTGCACCTTCCAGAAGGATGTGCTGAGGCTGGTTGCACAGATTACTCTCTGCACCAATTGCTCAAATATAAATATTTGGAGGTTTGGGCATAGAACTGATCTGAATGCTTAATTTTTCCTGCAGTCCTCAAAGAACTTGTCGTAAACTGAAATCCACCCCCCTTCTCACTTTGGTTTTTATCCTCCACCGAACTATCTGTATATATAAATGCATTTTATGTTGTTCCCGATACCCATCATCCTTGAGCTGCTTCTTTATAGAAAAGCAACACAGGGCCTAGGCCTGAGAGAGGCACAGTTAGGTACTTGTTCCTGTACATACTTCATTGCAGCACTGAAAACACTGTAAGTACAGAAAAATCTCTCTCAATCTATAACTAAATGGGCTTTGGATTTATAGAGCACTTTCCACCCTTAACGTATCGAAGTGCTAGAGGATCATGATCAACATTTTACAGATAGGAAATCATGAGGCACAAAGGTTTATTTGGAAGCAAATGAATGCTGACGACTCAATGTCTAATGCATAAAAAATAAGAAGGCTCCCTGTGTTTCTGTTTACTACGAGGGGGAGGAGGAAGCAGCGCCGAACCACACTGTACTCCCCTCTCCAGCCAGCCCTTAGTGCAGCTCAGGGCTCTGGCAGCTGCTGCAGTAGCGGTGGAGCAACCAGGAGCTCTGGGCTGTTTTGAATTGGCAGGCTCAGGGGCATTGCCTCTTTTGTCCCATTAGTGGGCCTGACTCACCAAGAGTGAAATTAACACATCGGTGCCCTTACATGTTCAATGATTTCCCACCTCTTGAGAGTCTTTCGTGTCTGGCTATGCATTCCCGTTGGCAAATGACAAGATGTCTGGTAAGTACGTGTGCCTTTCCTAAAAATGCACGGCTTAAAAATAAACGTGAATGCTGTTATCAGCATTCAACAGAATTGCTCTGAAGCGCCTATAAACAAGAAGCCCTACCCTGCAATCTAATGTCCAGCGTGATTAATAACAGCTGTTTCTTTTTCATTACAACACTTTGCTTTGAGCCAAAAAAGTCTGATGCATGTATCTATACTGAAGCTTATTTATTTATTTTTTTTAGATTTCTGGATACCTCTCAAGTACTTACGTTGACTTTCCACAGACTTTTCTCTGGTACCACTGTTTACAGTTTGTGTAGTATTTCCTGTTTGTTCCAATAAGTTTCTGCACAGCACACACGTTGGGGCTACATATAAAGAAAGACAGAAAAAAATACTTTAAATTATTCCCTCATTCAGACATATAAGAGTTACCCCATTGACAATAGGTCTGAAAACAGTACTTTGATTTTTATAAAGGAATCTTTTATAGCTGCAATTTACCTAAGAGATCAGAATGTATGAGGACTGCTAAAAATTAAACTAAACTGAGAAAGAGCTCTCTTTTCATCGAGCCAGGATGTTTTCTTTGCTGAGTCCAAAACCCTGACCTTTTTCACACATCCTAGAAATAATAAATGACAGATAAAATGACAGTTACATCATGTTTCTACAGTAAACCTCCAATAGTCCGGCATCCAATAGTCCAGCACTCCTGATAGTCCGGCATCAAAATGGCAAGAGCCTAGTGAGTGAGCTTCAGCAAAAAATGAGCCACAAGAAAAACTAAAAGGCAGCTGACTGAGCAAAAAGGTAAAAAAGGCTTAAAAAACTAAAATATTACAGTATACTGTATACAGTATGTACAATAAAAAGGGTTAAGAACACTTTATATACAGTATATAATGTATACAGTATATATATAACCAGCTTATAGTACCTCCTGATAGTTCGGCATATCTGATAATCTGGCACCACCTAGGTCCCATAGGTTCCGGATTATCGGAAGTCTACTGTAATAGGTTATAATGCAGTGTTTCTTAAATTCTGTTCCGCAGAACACTGGTGTTCCATGAACAACTCGCAGGTGTGCCGCAACCTCTTCTTTGCTTCTGTCTTTTTTTGTCTAACAACAATTTTTTTTTTGAAATTTTTTTTCATAGGTGTTTTGCATAAAAAATGATTATCGTTTCATGTTCCGTGGACTCAAAAAGTTTAAGAAACACTGTTAGAATGAGTTAGGCTTACTGGTGCTGGTTAACCAGTAGGGCTGGAGCAGTTCTCTGCCCATCCTGGGTAGAAAGCTGTTCCAGCCTCGCAGGATCCCCTGGAGCAGCCCGTGTCTGTGGTGGGCCTACCTGCCCCTTCTCTGCTGCAAGTGACATATTGACTCCCCAGGAGAGGAGCCGGCAGGGGCTGTTGACCTGATTGCAGGGAGCTGGCTGCAGACCCCACAGTGAAGCCTCTGCGGGAGCAGGGCTGGCAACAGAGCTTTCCCCCCTGGAAGCAGGGCTTATTTAAGCTTTATACCGCAGAGCCCAAGGTGTGTGCATCCATTATGAAGTTTTAGAAGTTACACGGTTACATTCTTAACCGCATGTTTACATCCCTAGTCTCTACTAGGTGTGTGAAAAGTTAACCGATTAACACCACCAGGGCCAGCTTTAGGCCAATTCCACCGATTCCCCTGATTCGGGCCCCGTGCCCTAAAGCCGTGGTCACCAACCGGTCCTGCCTGCAGCTTCGCGCCACTTACGGGGGTTCCAGAAGTGCACTGGCTGCGCCCCTCCCCGGGAGGGTGCATTGGCCCCGGAGGAGGAGTCAACTCACCCAGAGGGGTGAGTCGAGCACAGAGGTTTCCCTGCGGTGTTTGTTGTTGTTGTTTTTTTGCTCAACAAAAAAATTCTGGCTGCCAGGGCCCTGTTGAAACTGTTTGAATTGGGCCCCGCACTTCCTAAAGCCGGCCCTGAACACCACTCTTAATGGGTGATGCTTACTGGTTCTGGTTAACCAATGGGAGCTGGACCAACTCCTCGCCGGCCACGGGCGGGTGCTCCAGCCCTGCAGGGCCAACCATGGACAGAAGTGCTCCAGACTAGCTGGAGCATCCCCTGGCTGTGGCAGGCCTGGGTGCATCGCAGACAGGAGCTGCTCCAGGCCAGGCCCGCCTTACCCACCTTTAATCAGTGAACTGGTTAAACATCCTGGTTAATCTGTTAACCAATTAAATGGGATTTTACAACCCTAGTTTCTACTCTGGACACCTACTCATTAGGAAAAAATAAGCTCTGGATAAAGACTTGATAGAGACGACAAACAAGGTGAAGATATTTAAAAAAATGTAACCAAAAAGATAAACTATGTTTAAAATAAAATATATCAGGGTAATTAGCGGTAGATCAGACTAGAACTATTTTGTATGTGAAAATAGAATTGTTATATTGCTAATAATGAACTTGTGCTAGTGTTTCAACACAGTGACTTTTCCATAGTCTGGATCAGTATTTCTCAAAGTGTTCTGCAGGCCGCTGCTTCCGGCAGCTTCTCATGGCTGGAAACGGCGCACTAGAGTCAATGAGAGTCACTAGGCTCCGTGGCTACAGACCCTTTAGATAAACAAAGCAACAAAGGCCGCTAGTAGCTTTCCCAAAGCGGGACCATGGAACACTTGGAGAAACACTGGTCTGGATTAAGGATGTTAGTTGTTTAAACAATTAATCAATAAACCTGGCCTGATATGTTAATACGAACGACTACATGTACCCCCGCTGACTGCCTCTCACAGGGGCAGCAGTGCAGAGGACAGGTGGGAACCAGTGTTCGGGGTGAACCAGTTTAATTGCCAACTCCCCATGAGCACCAAATCCTGCAGAGCCACCTGGCCCCACCCCGCTGCTGCCTCTGTATCAGAGGCAGCAGCGCTGGAGGAGCAGGCAGGTTGCTGGAGCAGCCTCTGTGGAGCTCGGACACTTGGAAGCTACTTGGAAGCTCCTCGGCGCTACTGGAGCCCATATAAAGCTAAACAAAACCTCATATCTTAAAGTAGATCCCCAGGTTAGGACCTGTTTTAAGTTAACAGAGATTGTCTAGCTCCTAGAACTGGAAGGGACTTTGAATCTAGTCCCCCACCTTCACAGTAGTACCATCCCTGACAAGTTTTTACCCCAAATGGCCTCTGCAAGGATTGAACTCATAATCTCTAGATTTAGCAGGCCAATGCTCAAACCACTGAGCTATCCCTTGCCCTAACTAGCCTCACATCAAGAGAACATCTGCAGGTGGTGTACCTGCAGCGCCTGTCACCCACAGGTCTGCTTGAAAGACTTCAAAATCTAATCTGTTTGATCCTAATTTAATATAGGCACTGCCTTACTCCACAGTATTATTTATTTGCTTTGCCATAATGCCTATAATCTTGAGTCATGGGCCAAGAACTCATTGTATTACGCACCATGCAGAGCCATAATAAAAGATGGTCTTCATCCAAACTGCTTACAGTCTAAGGCTACATCTACACTACACGGTTTTTGCGCAAAAACCCGCGGAGCGTCCACACCTCTAGCACGCTTTTGCGCAAGTAAATTGACAGTAAAACAGCAGAACGGAGGTCTTTTTGTGGTGTAGATAAACCTCCTTCTACAAGGCTACCGCTGTTGCACAAAAAGGCATGTGTGGATGCTCTGCAGGGGTTTCTTGTGCAAATAAAACCCATCCGAAAAAGCACAGGTGCTCTGATGGCCATTCACAGAATGGCCATCAGATCTTTCTTGCGCAAGAGTGTCCATGCAGTGTGGATGCTCTCTTGTGCAAAAGCGATGCGCTTTGAGGTGTGGACATGCTTTTACGCAAGAAGTTTTTGCGCAAGAATTCTTCCGCAAAAAACTTCTTGCGCAAAAACCCTGCAGTGTAGACATAGCC